TTACCTAAAACCTTTTTACCATGGATCTGACATGTGTAACTTCGTAAATAAACAAAGAGAGCTGCTCACCATGGCAGTCTGACTACAGTCACCATCAGCCACCAACCCAGCACAGCTTCCCTGTGTGTAAACTCCACTTAGCTTGCACATTGGGCCATCGATAGTCAGGCAGTAAGATGCTGAGAGACAGTCCGGGTCATTCAGGCAGATTACAGAACAGTCGATCCTGCTACGGGCTGGCTTGATTATCACAACGTCCGTGTTTGTAACTTTTGAGGGGCAGTTAAGGAACGAAACGCGTCTTCTTTCAGCAAAGATGACCTCGGAGACAGCCAGTATCAGCATGCATGTTTGCAGAAGCGTAGTTTGGAGATCCATCACGTTCTTTATGAGAGGGAAATGACAATTACGTTCAAGACGGTAGTCTGACACGAAGGAAACCGAATGATGAGTGAAAGGAAACAAGCAGAAGGTTGTCTGAACATAAAACAAAAATAGGACCCCATTGCGTTGCAAAATGAACATACTGTTGTACTTAAAAGCAGCAGAATCTCTTGCCTTCTATACAACAGACGTAACTAAAAAAATCCACTTTTTTTCAGTTTCAGTTAATGCGCTATCGTTGTCACTTGATTTTCCGACCACTTACTTCATAATGCAAATTTTGAGTGACGAGAAGGACAAGTTAACCGATTGAGACCATTTAAATTTCATTGATCCATTCATATACCTTTCATCATTATTTTGCCATTAAAAACCAATGAAATCTGACTCGAAACTCGATATTTTCGGGCGTTGAGGTTTTATATTGAAGAGTCCTCCAAAATTACCATTAACTCACAACCTTAAACTCGTTGTGAACATCGTGTCAAAAATGCTGATCAACATGAGTGGACAAACACAAGAGTGTTGGAAACTTTTGAACGCAAGTAGATAGGCATACATAGAGAATCGCGCCAGACTATATTTTGACATCAAATATATCAGCGCAAGTCGATTGAAGTTGCAAACATCCTTGGTTGGGTCTCATGGTGGTCTGCTACTTTTATCGACAAGCGTTTGTTTATTTGATCTCTAAAGACAGCTGTCTCTACAATATTTATATTCGTTCTTACACAGGTTTTGCGATTTCCATATCACAAGACAGGGGGTAATTAATTTATGAAAAGAAATATCTATTGGCAAATTTAAGATTTCCTGTCTTAAAAGAGGCAGACAACTACAAACTTACGTGTCTCGAGCTGCGTGGTCCCCGCTTGATGTGAACTGCTATAGATCCTGCGCTTCAGCTCCACTATTTGTATGTTGTAATAACTTTCATCATACGTGTTTGTTGTTGTTTACCATACGTGTTACCAGGTGCCGGTTTATCTGATTTTAAGATTCTGCGATTTAATTAGTTTAATTCTAAGATGAATGATTTTTCACAACAACCAAACTCTTCTTACTGACTTTATGTTTTAAATGAAATGATGCTAGCAAACCATGCATAATTTATCATTTGCAGAAAGGACTGTATGCATAACGCTTCTTTGCTTGGGGCATGATGCTGTGACATTTGGTTGGTTGGTTGGTTAACGCCGCACTCAGCAATATTCCAGCTATATGACGGCGGTCTATAAATAGAGTCGGGAGACAATCCAGTGATTGTTATCATGAGCATCGATCCTCGCAATGTGGGATCGATGACATGCATCAACTAAGTCAGCCGCCCGATCGCGTTAGTTGCTTTTTACGGCAAGCATGGGTTGCTAAAGATCTATTCTACCCAGGACCTTCACGGGTCACATTTTTAAACGGTTTTTGAATGATGGTTATAATTAACACATACATATTTTTCATCTGCATGACGTTTCGGCCCATCTCAGTTTTTTTAAAATATTGACATTTTCAATTTTCTGAACAAACCATAAATCAGTATCATCTAAATGCCCTGAATAAATCTGAACACCATTCTCACAGTCTGAGAATTCGAAGTTAATGCTTTAAGAGTTTCGACAATTATTTTCATTCCAAAATATGTTAATGTTTTGATTCAATGTCATACACATATTAAAGCTACATTATTGATTTTGCATGATACATTTAAGAATTGACTTTCACTCCGTATGAGTTCATTGGAGTAGGAACCTTCAATTGATTCAATGTCATATACATATTAAAGCTACATTATTAATTTTGCATGATACATTTAAGAATTGACTTTCACTCCGTATGAGTTCATTGGAGTAGGAACCTTCACAGAGTGAGGGCCAAACTGTAAGGACGTCGGGGCATGCGACGACCTTTATACAATGTTTGGCCCTCACCCTATGAAGGTTCAACAAACAAGCAAACAAATCATACTCCAATGCATTATTATGGTGATTGCTCTCATATGCTGTTGTGGAGTTGTATTCGTCAGAACTATTTGTGTGTAAAAGATCGTGCATATGTATGATTAGAATTTGACAAAAGATCAATATTACCCTAATTCACATAATGAATCATGCTCCAACTTCAATAAACGTTTGCTTACGCACGCAGTTGCCGAAGTATAGTAGCAGCATATTGTCCTTCAATGGTCTGACATTTCGGGAAGTGGTCAATCTGCAGGATTCCTTTGGGATCCCAGACAAACGAAGCAATCGCCTTACCAGCAGATGGAACAGAGTTTGCCTTCCCCGAAGGATGCGTTGAACCAACACTACTGCTTTAACTGTTGTTTATCTAATAGTGGTGAACCCAAGACTCATCCATGGCTACAAATCGCTCCACAAACGTGGCTGGGTCTGATCCTGCTGGGATGTCGTGCAGGAAGCTGAGGTACCGAAGTCCCCACGATCCCCAGCGAGGTGGCCTACTTTGGGTATCGGTGGCCTGTAGCCCGTGTTTTAAGCTGTATGATTGATATCATTATGCCCAAATGTGTCAGATGAAATTTGTTTTTAGATATAACTTTGCACGAATAACTCACTTGTGCATATATAAACTTAGTCTCGTCGCTATATGGCTGAAATAATGTCGTTGCGAGGTTTAAATTTTAGATCACTCACTAACTCTTTGAGGTTGTCTTTCCCCCCACAATGCATGAATGCCTTTATTAAGATAACCATGTTTGATCGATAAAGTTACCTGATACTTCGGGCTTTTCTCCCACAATATGTTAACACTGTGGTGCAACTAGAACATAGAGATTACTACACGAGTGTCTGTCAGATACCATTTATCTTACAGCGAGTTGTTTCAAAACGTATCTAACGATCGAAAGCGAGTTAGATACGTTTTGTAACAACGAGTTGTAAGATCAATGGTATCTGACAGGCACGAGTGCAGTAATCTGTTTCTTACACACACTAAAATCGCACCTTTTTTGCATCGAATCGATGCATTTTGTCTAATTCTCATGATCGCAGCAGCGCATTAATACATAACACCACTGCCATAAGTGACGTCATCCTATGTATTGCTTACTATCCATATATAATGTGACCCTACACACACAAAATTCCGCCATATTTGTGGATTATCAAGGCGATGACAAAACAAAGAACACTCTGGATGCCGAGTTGAAAGTTCACACCTCAAAGAAATTACCAAATATGTACTACAATGTTTACTTCCGTATGACATCACTACCGGTGACCGACTTTGGCAATGGCCATGAGGTAAAGTCAAATGTAATATCTTTACAGCGTCTGAGACGAGCTGTTATTTGGCGTTGTTATTAAAGACAACGCTTTGAGATGATTCAGCATGAGTAATGCTCTTTCCCAATGATAACATATTGTCTTTTGCCACATATTCAGTGATACATGTGCCCTCATATTGAAATCATTCGGTGTATTTTCACATATAAGAATCCATTTCATAAGGTTTTGTCAAAGTATATATCCGTACGAAGTGCATAGCCATTCTATACACCTTATGAAGGTCAAAATGACCTTGATGTGTGCTGTTATGAGAAGCAAGCATACCTTACCTAAACACAGCGAAAATATAGGTGATCAATATGTAGTTGCTCAACTGCTTTAATGGCAGTCGGCGACTTTTAGATCAATGAGATCTATCATGTTTGTGCTACATATGTATACAAAATGCAACATGTTTTTACACACATGGATCACTTAGGTTTATCGTTTTAGTGGTATGCATGTAGGGTATTGTTTGATTGTAAGGCAGTGTTTGTACATTTTGTGTCGCTTTAAGAACTGATTATTTATCTTCAAGTCGGTTATTTAAGGGTTAGCATCATACATATACATGCAAAATTAAAACGTTAGAGATCGTGCTTAAAAAAAACATGATTTATTCGGACAACAGTACTTCCGATGTGGCAACCCATGTGATAACTCATATCATGTCCATTGGTTAGATTAGCCTGAAATGAATTGATTTGCTCATTACTGTTAATTGTGAACGATACATGTTATCAAAACAAGGACTGGTTGGCTCGTAGTCAGTCTACTGTGTCTGAGGGATATTCATTTTAAACTGTGGCACGGACCAACACACACACAAACGGGTGGCCCAGTCGTCTAAGGCGCCGCGATTCGCTGTGCAGAGTTGCGTCATGGGCACGCCAGAAACCTGTGATTGTTGGTTCGAATCCCAGTTCGCCCCGATTATGTTTCTAGGTTTGTCAGCAAAATACCCGTGCTCGTGGGTTTCACCGAAGTGGTTAACGTCTGAGACCTGCATCACTTCGGGCTTTCCTCCCACATTAAGCTGACACGCCGTGAATACTGGAATACTGTTAAAAGCGGCGTTAAACCCAACTCACTCACTCACTCTCTCACACACACTCACACTCTCTCACACACAATATTCTTGAACGCGACGATTAACCCCCGTTTCACCACACCTCATTTCGTCAAACCTCTAGGCAAAAATCACCAGTGGCACCCGTCTCAAGCACACGCAAAAACAAGTAAATTCTCCACAAAAAAACAACAACATGAGAATGATTTTCGATTTTCAATGAGCGTGTTTGCATCAATAATTAAAAACATACCAGACGATTCATGTTGTCCACATTTGGGAGATGATTTTTCATTTTAAGAATTTGTAACAATGATTGATATTTTCATTGGAATTTAATGATTTTGCCGACATGATATAACAAAAAATTTATTGGATGCTATAATAAAAGTCAAGATCAGTCATTGACGAATTAATCACGCTGGGCATGGCTATGCTTTTGATAACATAAAGCAACATTAGAATACATTTGTGACACATTTTCACTTATTATGTGCATACAAAATACAGCATTTGCAATATAGCATGATCAATATTTTGACATAAGTAAATCTGATTAGCACCACCCGGGGCTCCAAACGCCTCCATATTTTCTTGGATCAGATGCAGGATCTGGATTTGGATAATTGGCTGGCACCATCGTCTTCTTGTACTCCTCAAACCGAGCACGCAACTTCGCAACCATGTCCGGTGTCTTCTGTGCAAGGTCGTTGTGCTCAGTAGGATCCTCTGGATGTGTATCGGAATATTTGTTAGGGGAATAGAGCTTTAGAAACAATATGCATTCTTATATATTCTGCACATCTCTTGGAAACAGCCAGTGATCTGGGGTCTGGATCAAGTTTAGTTATAATAGGATGATGAAAACCTAAAACAAACAAGGTCTTGAAAACCATCGGTATGTGTGGGTTCTACAATGCATTGAATGTATATTGCTGTGGATCGATCATAATCAAGTTAATTGTTGCAGCAATACTTACCGGTGCTGATAGCCAGTGTGTCGGAAAGATATGACTGATGACTTTTTATCAAATAATTGCGTACCTCGAATGTTGAAGAGTTGGACTGGTTCATCTCCTTTGGTGTAAACTGGCTCTTTATATATGTCATCCTGGGTTCTGTTCATGGGTCTGAACCAGCCATCAAGTTCTCCAGGGTACCCCAGGATCAGCTTGTAGTCCCCTACTCTAATACAAGAATGCAGACACCATCACATCAAATGAGTATATGTTCGCTTTTAAGACTGTATTTAGTTCAATGGCATGTGATATTGCATGTGAAATAAGACGGTCATTAATGTTAATGTGCAAATCGCTGTACAGAATCATACAGGTAATTCTGACAGTCTGTTGCATGTTATCTAATTTGATGATAAAACATCCTAAAATACCTTATACCAGCATGACCTTCCATTGGAATTTCAAAGTAGTCAATGTTGTAGATGAACTCAGTCCTTGGCGAGGGGAGGCCGTTTCGAATCGAATCCCAAAGACTCATTCCATCAATGGTAGGTTCTTTGCCCCATATACAATGAAAGGTGTAAAAACAATTCGTAATACCTTGCCGATGTGTTTTGTTTAGAAACAGTTTACCAAACTAACAACACATTTAAGAGTATGTGACTGATTTATTGTTGTTACAAAATTCGGGGCAATATAAATGAGAATATCTTTACCCGGGATTCCCCCAGCAGCAGATACTAAAGTGGGCTTCCAGTCGACAGCGTGGATCATCCTGTTTAGAAGTAGGAACGATTCACAGATAAAATAAACCGCATGCTGAAAGACACTTAGCATTGACCACACCATTTCAATAACATTTAGCTTATGCACTAAATATTAAATGGGGAGTATAAAAATAATTATAACTAAAATATCTTTCAATTCCTACAGTGCGATTACAGTTGTGTAACAATATGTACATGGTTATGCTATGTCTTCCTGCCCTTACTCTTTTCTTGACTAACCGTTTGTTTGTTGAAATTTGAATAAGTGTCATATATTTTACTTTGGATCAGGACTGGAACCATTATCCAAAATAGGATAGTTGCGTTTGATCTAATTGTATGGTGTGGTGTTACCCATCGTATCTTGTCCTTGTCTTCTGGAGCCCAGCACCATACATGAAGGATGCCCCCTTAGTGCCTCCCTCCCAGATCGTGAACTTCCCTCCCCTCAGAGGCCAGTTGTTGGAATACGCTTGAATATGACCTCCATTCTGAATTATCAATGGTTCCTTCAATGGCACAATTTCGTGATTAGCAGTTTGATGAAACACATCTATCCAGATGAACCAATACCTGTTTGCTTAACTGCAACGAAAAAGTGTTTAACCCTTCATTAACTGAAAGAAATGTGCACATATAGCAGTAAAACGTATTCTTGTCTCACACAGTTGTAATGGGGAAAGTATGATGTATTACATAAAACTGCTTGGTGACATGTGGGTATCTTATTTTATCATCCATGCAATTCATTCATAATATAACTATTTACAGGAAAAACATACTAGTTTTGCTGCCCTCTATTTCAGAATGACAAAACAACATACTTTTGTCGGATTTTGGCAAGCCATAATTAATGTTAAAAAAACGAGAAGTCTTGCCTTATCCGTCTTAATTCACAAAGCTGTCCAGCGAGTTCAAGAATCGAGTATCATTCTGTACAAAATGTATTTGAAATCTCGCCATTGATGACACTGGAAATACTTACATCTGCAGTGAATAAAATCAGAGTATTTTCAAACAAGCCCCGATCTTTCAGGGCCTGGGTAACATTTCCCACTGCCTCATCCAGGGCAGACACCATTCCTGTTGGGAATGAAAATAGTTGGCAAGGGCTTTGAACAATATTTCAAATATACTCACACGCAAAAGAAACGCAAGTGGTTTCAAGCAAATAGGTAACAAACACGGAACCATAAATTGATACGAGTTTTAGCATGTAGTGAAGGCTGATGGTGTCATCAATATTTTTGGTTGCATTTTGGAAGCCCCGAGTAAAAACGCAACATAAAAAACGAATCGCCAAAACGCACTATTTCAATGAATATGTGGGTATCATGCACCCATTTCTCGCGAAATCGAAAATGCACGAACTGTCACGAACTGTAGTGGGTATAAAACTGTGGCCGATTCTTGGACCTACCACTCCTTGTCAACAATGCCACGCCTAACTCAAATTCAGAGAAACCAGGCTATCGGACGTTGGGAAGCTGGAGAGTCTGTCCAAGATGTTGCCCGTCATTTCAACGTTAACATAACCACAATTTACCGTCTCCTGCATCGATACAATGCTACACAGACCACAGATGACCTTCCTCGGAGCGGTCGTCCTAGGTTCACCACACCTCGACAAGATCAGCAGATTACCCGTCAACACCAGCGACATCCGTTCCTAACTGCAAGTGAAAGTGCTCGACAGACCATAGAAACACATAATCGACACATTAGCCGGGACACTGTGATCCGACGTCTCTGTTCCAACTACCTTAGATGTCGCCGACAAGCACGTCGTCCTGTTCTCCAACCACGGCATTGACAAGCATCGACTTCAGTGGGCACAGGGTCATCAGAATTGGCGTCATCGTGAGTGGAGGCGTGTCATCTTCTCTGATGAAAGTCGCTTTTGTGTCTCCCATGCAGACGGAAGAGTCAGAATTTGGCGGCGTCGAGGTGATCGTTTCGCTGACAGAAACGTTGTGGAAAGGGATCCATGGGGTGGACCTAGCGTCATGATATGGGCAGGGATTGGACTTAATGCGAGACTTGGACCCATGTGCTTACTGAATGTTGGTCAAGGTCGGGGACACGGCGTCACTGCTCAGTGGTATATCGACCAAGTGATCAGACCCCACGTTGTTCCTTTTTTGCACATCAACAACACATTTTCCTGCAGGACAACGCTCGTCCCCATGTTGCCAGAGCTACCATGGCCTTTCTGCAACAACACAACATCCGTGTTCTACCGTGGCCAGCCCTCAACCCTGATCTGAATCTCATCGAACACTTGTGGGATGAGGTTCAAAGGCGTCTGCACAATGTGCGCCCAGTCCCTACAACTGCCGATGAACTACGTACAGCTGCTCTGGATGTGTGCAGGAGGATCCCTAGGGCCTTCACAAATCGTCTGATCCACTCAATGTACAGGAGTGTGGCAGTGATCAATGCTAATGGTGGTCATACCAGGTATTGACTGACATTTTGGGTATTGACCCGAAACTGTGTAAGCCCTTAACATTTGAAAAAACTATTATGTCATCAGCCTTAAATTGTCTTCAGTCAATTTTTTGTCAATCTTGCCCTATTAGTATTTCTTGTCTTTACTGTTGAAAATAAATAATATGTATACTGCATACTCGACTTGCGTTTCTTTTCCGTGTGAATATATGTCATGGCGTGTGATCTTTATAGGGGTCAAATCAACAATATCAAACAAAATATGAGGACTTGAGAGATAATTGTTTAAAGTGTGTGTGAGTGAGTGAGTGAGTTTGGTTTAACGCCGCTTTTACAGTATTCATTGTGTGTCAGCTTAATGTGGGAGAAAAGCCCGAAGTGAGGTCTCAGACGTTTACCACTTTGGCGAAACCCACGAGGACGGGTATGGTGCTGACTAACCTAGAAACACAATCGGGGCGAACCGGGAATCGAACCCATAATTATAGGTTTCTAGCGTGCCCAATGGACGCAACTCTGCACAGCGAATAGTGGCGCCTTAGACGACTGGGCCACCCGTGTGTGTGTGTGTGTTGGTCCGTGCCACAGTTTAAAATGAATATCCCTCAGACACAGTAGACTGACTCCGAGCCAACCAGTCCTTGTTTTGATAACATATATCTTTCACAATTAACAATAAGGAGCATATCAATTGTGCCCCCAATTGTTTAAAGAAAAAAACATACCACTGTACTTTCTTCGCCCTTCGTTAATCACGTTCGGATACATATCCTCATACTTCTTCGGTACCTGTGATGTCAAACGTTGAAGTACATAGATTGACAAACGGAACATACCCATATGCATTGTGAACAAACAAATCACCCTCAGTGACATCACCATAATCCTATTTGCATTAATCAGCAATTGTTCATGTTAATGAAAATGCATTGATTCAATCGTGCTCAATACATATGACTTCTTAAAATATGTCTTTCGGCAATGCCGGAAATGTTAAAAAGCCGAGCACTTGCTCAACTCTCAAGAAAGGCTAGTGGAAGTAAACAGGTACACGTTTTCAATACTGTGATTTCCATTACCTCAATTGGAGCATGTACACTTTGATAAGGGAGGTACATGAACAGCGGCTGTGATACATCATGACGATGGATGATGTCAACGGCTCTCTGGGCGAATGTGAACTGAAAAAAGCATAGGTGGTAAATAGGAATTTTTATACAATGGTCGAACCTTAGATATATCCCATCAATCGGCATTGCATACTTACAGCAGAATATTCTCCAGAGTAGTTTCTTGCAGGAAGCTTATTGTCCCTGTAGTCTAAGTATCCCCCTGACGAAATATGAAATATGTAGATTATTATTCATCTGCTTACATGAACATGCTTGAAACTGAAACGTAAATCCATGAAACGAAATCTAAAACAAGCTTCAGGATAACCCTGAAAGCATAATAATTCGCACCAGCAGTGTGAGTGAAGTAGTCTTCAGCCGCATTGTAATAACCAAAGAAAGTATCGAAGCCTCGGTACGTTGGTGTGCATTCCCACTTGCAAAAACCAAGATGCCATCTGAAATGATATTGCATGTGATGAGTATATAGCGTCAAACAGTCACCTAAATGCCATTCACACTGCAGAAACCAACATGCAATGGAAGTAGACGTAAATGAATGCATGTACATGTACATTGGCATACGTTCATTTTGGAAAACAAATACTGGTATGCTTATTACAGTATATCTTTCATTTATTCCATTTATTTCTACTTAGTATTTATTTATTTTTAGTGTAGTATATAAAACCTACTTTCCGATTATGTGCATGGCATAACCATTCCATTTATTTCTACTTAGTATTTTTTTTTTTTTAGTGTAGTATATAATACCTACTTTCCGATTATGTGCGTGGCATAACCAAGTTTCTTTAGTTCCTGGGGGAGGAATGTGTAGTTGAGGGGCACACACACTGTTTGGTCCCCATTTAGTGCCATATGCTGAATATGAATTTGTCTTTGTAAGAACTTCCCATTTGCTCACAGTTGAGGTGAAATGAAACTCAGTACGATCAGAATTTATGACAAACGACCAGAGGGAGATGTCGACAATTACCCAGCCTTCTAGCTACTTATAATATTCAACAAACAATTAAGTGATACGTCTGACAACAAGGCTCTAAGACAGGTCCAGTCTAACAATGAGTCAGGGGGTAAACATTATGGGAGCATAAGAATATTACTAAATCCAACTAGTAATTTTTCAGGGACTTCCCACTTACATCATGATCTATAGTGTAAATACCCTGCTCAATGCGATGATTTACGTCCTAATATCATTAACTAAACGGCATAATTACCTGCATGCCTGCATGGAATGGATACATTCCACTCATAAAAGCTGTACGAGATCTGAAACAATGAGTGTCTGGATACCTGCGTAATATTTTAATGCAATTACATAGGCAGTTAAGCAAGTTAGTTCAGTTCTTTAACATTATGTACTGCTGTTATTTTGTTTTATAAAGGTATACATAGAAATATATACCAAGAAATCATGCAGTTCAATACATCCACACACATTGTTAAATGTAACCTGTAACTTGTTATATGATGCAATTGCTCATTGCCAAATCAAATCAAATATATATATATATATATATATATATATATATATATATATATATATATATATAATGTGTTTTGTTATGCATCTTATGTTTTCGCAAGGTGAGAATGAAAAATGATATGACAACAATTTACGGGCTGCACAGAGGCTGGACATATGCATTTTCAAAGATGATTCCCTCTGTGGCCAGTTTGTCGATGTTTGGGGTCTTCATGTCAGGATTACGGAAACCAACATCATTCCAACCTGAAAACTCGATTATGAAATGGTATATACCGCTGTGTTATTATATTTATTTTGACAAAAGACACATTTGGAGTGTCACACTGTTGCAATGGGTATTTCTCATTAAATCACTTTGTAATTGCCTTCAATATCTACACTCACCTAAATCATCTGCCACAATAAACACGATATTCGGACGCTGTGCCGATGTCAATGATAAGAAAACCAAGAACAGAGCAAAGAGCTGTCGAACCCCCATCACATTTGCTTATTCAACATAATGAGACAGCATTCCTTTATCTGCTTATATAAAGACCTTTCAGTGTGAAAGACTAGACTGATAAAGCATATCTATAACTCAGTCTTGACCTACATATTTTGGTATTTGTGAAACACACGCTTGTTCAAACGTAATTCATAAAGTAGGAACGTTGAAACAACTTTTATGACAATTATGGAACGACGAATATGTTAGTGCAAGAATCAACATGAAACAATTTTGAGCATCATTTCTCAGACCATTAGCCACACACTGGTAACAACGACTGAGACATGCATCCTTATCAGATAAAGAAAATATGCACCAACGACTGTGACATGCAGACCTATCAGATATAGAAAATATGCTGACAATTTCATGTCTTGATTTGACCCCGTCTTCAAATTGCACTTAGCCATTAGTATTAAGGGTGTCGTTGTGTCCATCATAGCTTATTTTGTATAGAATTCGAATCCAGACATCCCCTACGTACTTTCACTTTGTACAGGAGACCCTTGACGAGAACCTTGTTCCTTTAATGTTTGCATAAGTTGCTGGGTCTCTATCCTAACCTCGAATCCTCGCGGGCCCCTCTAGACATGACACATTGTAGTTAAACCATCGGAAATGAACTCAATGTTGTTGTTGTTGTTGTTGTTGTTGTTGTTGTTGTGAAGTTGTAAATCTTTCTGGATTCACGTTCGCCTCGACGAGGAAAAATAGTATGAAGTAGTACACATATGCAAGTAAATGTTCCTTGCTTCAGTTTCAGTTCGGGGAGATCAGTGCCTGTAGGCACGTTGTATAATACAGTCATCCAAGCATCAGTAGATGCCATCATCTCGAAGTTTAATCAGGCATGTCCGTGCTGAAGATATGTTTGTAGCTGTTCAATTTGGTTCTGTTATTAATATTATTCGGTAATGTGATATCTCAACTCATAACTGAAACAACCTCAGCACCAAGTCGTCGTTCGAAACCTCAACACATATATTTCAGGACAATAACTGAACAGTTATTGTTGGGGGTAATACCCGCACTGCAAATCAAATAGGCAGCCCCTAAGAATACGCCATATTGGACATATTTGTAGTGAATGCATATGTATTATATGTGTATGTTTGTGTGCTGTGCTCAAATATAACTATGTTATTTTTAGAGAAGCATTCATTCTTTGGGTTACAAGGAACGATATCCATATGTTATATCTGTTATGAAAAGTTTTGTCATTATATAAAACCTATTAATATCATGACCTGTGACTATTCTTTAATTATTTGTATTTGTTAATTTTTTAACTACCGTAGCAGGAAAATTAGAAGTTATGTTTACTAACTGAATAGAACATCAAACCAAAGCCAAAACAATTGATTTATATAATCAATATCGCGTTTAATACAACAGTCTTCGAACTTCAGCTCGCATTGGCAAAATCAAAACACGATAGAGTTTGATCTGAACGTTCAGGTATTGTTAATTAAGTGTCAAATGGCCAGTTCCCTCATCGTGATTTACCCAACAGAACTAGAAATATATCATACTATTGAAACCGACCCATTTTGGTTTCATGTTGAGATACTTTAATAATGATTCCAAATTGAGTTGGATTCACTGATCTTTTTTATTTCTTGCTCAGGTGGGAAAATCAGTGGAAGGGAATTGGTTATTTGACCAATAATGAACGATATCAGACCAACAATATATATGAAGCTTAATTTCAACTTCTTGGCCAAGTTCCCTTGTTTTGATAGTGTCACTCCAAGCAGGCTATGTTTATCTTGTGTAACAAAGCATAATTGGTGATCATGGGATGACTACTTCTTGACTAAGAGGACAACTGATTTGAAGTCCCCTGTACATTTCCGACCATATCACGAGCTTGCTCTCATAAATCACTGTCAGAGTGATAATACTAGGTGTTCGCCTGAAGATGAGCGTATTCCGCCCCCACCAGTGGTATCCGTCACAAACACATGCAAAAGCAAGTCAACTGTAAACAAGAAATACAACAACATGGATACAAATTTATCTTCGAACGATCGCAGAAATCTGTATACGAAAATATATTTGCGAGCTTTTGCGATAAGCGTGTTTGTGTTACTAATTGAAACATTATCAGATGGTTGATATTGTCCAAATGTGGGAGATAGTCCACATTTACAGCATTTTGATGTCTTGGCCGGCATGATATAGCTAGAATATTATCAGTGATTGATTAATTTATCTTGCCTAATCACAACTTCAAACAAGCACCATACTACATAACGCAATGGGCTTATCATAGAATTTACCCAAATAAAGATATATGGAATGAAAACGGATTGGGCCATTTGAAGAACTGAAGCTAAATATCCGATCAAAGGTACAACATTATATAGATATATAATTTTCAATATACCAGACTTATTGACAAACACAACAATCAGGAAAACTAGAAAAATAATTTCACAGAATGTGTATATAAACAGTAGCTTAAGTGATCTGATGAAACCTGTTAAAGGCGCTGTATTTTTTTATGATAAATTAATATAATATTAATATAATCTCAGAAATTGTTATAAATGACAATCACACTTTTACTGTGAGTTTAATTGAAAGATAAAAACAAACTGTTTATAGATGTAAACTGAAGGATGAAAAACTTGTAGATTTTCAATACAGATTTCAGTAGAGGTAGCTTTTGTAATGCTGTCAGTGGGGACATCGGCCATCGGCAATGTAATGAAACTAAACAATTTTGGAAAAATCTCTAACATTGGCTTTATAATTATCTTTCACAAAAGAATTTGACAAAATATCTTATTTCTCTTATACTTCATTCAGTCACACAATTTTATTGGGAAAGAGGCATATTCATGTATGTGGAATCAAAGGAATCAAGCCGAAAATAAATATTAAAACTACTTAAAAACATGTATTCAATCGAAAAATGTAGTGCTATGTTAAAGGATGACAGAAATAACTTTAACAAATGTGTATTGTGCCATTCTATGAAATCCGAAATATGTATTTGACGGAATACTGTATTACTCTACAACTTGAACAATAAAAAATTAAAAAAGCAAATTTTATTATGCCTACCATGGCTATGCTTGAAATTAAATACCTCGTCATGAAGTAACATGAACGAAGATTGGTGACACATTTTCATTTATTATGTGCGCACAAAATACACATTTAGCAATATGGCATGATCAATATTTGGATATAAATACATCTGATTAGCACCACCCGGGGCTCCAAACGCCTCCATACTTTCTTGGGTCAGATGCAGGATCTGGATTGGGATAATTGGCTGGCACCATCGTCTTCTTGTACTCCTCAAACCGAGCACGCAACTTCGCCACCATGTCCGGCGTCTTCTGTGCAAGGTCGTTGTGCTCAGTTGGATCCTCTGGATATGTATCAGAATATTTGTTCGGGGAATAGAAATTTACAAACAATATACATTCATATATATTCTGCACATCTCTTGGAAACAGAAAGTGCCCTGTGGTATGGATCAAGTTGGTATATATAGGATGATGAAAACCTAACACAAACCAGGTCTTGAAAACCATCGGTATGTGTGGGTTCGTCTATCTATTGATTGTATTTTATTATGGGTCGATCAAATCACGAGCCGAATCCAAACACACAGTATGTTAAGCTTTGCTGCAGGACATATAGATGTTTTTAGGTACTGTGTGATCACCACTTAGAAGATCTAGGAAAGACATGACCTATGACTCTTATGTAGAATAATTGTGTACCTCGAATGTTGAAGAGTTGGACTGGCTCATCTCCCTTGATGTAAACTGGCTCTTCATATATGTCATCCTGGGTTCCGTTCATGGGTCTGTACCAGCCATCAAGTTCTCCAGGGTACCCTAGGATCAGCTTGTAGTCTCCTACTCTAATACAAGAATGCAGACACCACCACATCAAACAAGTATCTGTTTGCTTTTAAGAATGTATTTAGTTCAATGGCATGTGATATTGCATGTGAAATAGGAAGGTCATCAATGTAAATGTAAAAAACGCCGTACTAAATCATACAGGTTATTCTTACAGCCTGTTGCATGTTATCTAGTTTGATGATAAAACATCCTAAAATACCTTATTCCAGCATGACCTTCCATTGGAATTTCAAAGTAGTCAATGTTGTAGATGAACTCCGTCCTTGGTGAGGGGAGGCCGTTTCGAATCGAATTCCAAAGACTCATTCCATCAATGGTAGGTTCTTTGCCCCATATACAATGAAAGGTGTAAAAACAATTCGTAATACCTTGCCGATTTGGGTTGTTTTACGAAACAACTGATCAACTTATCAACAAACGACACATTAAAAGTTACAAAATAGGTGTTCCTTATTGCAATTGTGAAATATCAATGAGAATCTCCCTACCTGGCGTTCCCCCAGCAGCAGATACTAAAGTAGGCTTCCAATCGACAGCGTGGATCATCCTGTTTCGTGATAGGAGAGATACACATATATAATAAAACCCATGCTTAAAGCCACCAAATACTGACTGTTGCAACTCAATAATTTTAGCTTATGTACTAAATAATAAATAAGAGGTATTAATACAATTTTCTATAAGGTGCATTTTGAAGAAACTAACATATTATAAGATTCTGTGCGATTACAGTTGTGTAACAATGTGTAAATGATTATGCAAGCATTCGAAATAGGAAATTTTATACAGCCCTTTGCATTTTACTGACCAACCGTATGTTTGTTGAAGTTCGAATAAGGATCATTTACTTTACTTTGGATCAGGACTTTTTATAACAGGATTATTGGGTTTGGTCTAATTGTATGTTGTGGTGTTACCCATCGTATCTCGTCCTTGTCTTCTGGAGCCCAGCACCGTACATGAAGGATGCCCCCTTAGTGCCCCCCTCCCAGATCGTGAACTTCCCTCCCCTCAGAGGCCAGTTGTTGGAATACGCTTGAATATGACCTCCATTCTGAATTATCAATGGTTTCATACAAGGCACAATGACCTGATTAGCAGTGTGTTGAAACATAACTATCCAGAAAAACAAA